CTTTGTTTCAGGTACTAGAAGACGATGTTCGTGTTTCATCCCAGTCATCAAACTCGAGATTTTCAGGTGATATTTTTTGGTAGGATCTATTACGTTAAAGTTGAGCATGACTGAAAGAGAGAAATATCGACTGTTTTGTAACCCCGCGTACCAAACATGTGCGTGGTATCAAAGATTTCATTGATATTTCCTCGGATCCCTTGGCTAATGATTCACATTTCTCGGTAATTTTTATTTTATTTTTAATAAAGAAAAAACAAATGCAAAATTATGCAATGATATAGAATACATGCCGTGGTGGAAAATTTGTGTTCATAAATTCATTAACTCGCAATCGAGAAAGCGATGATTTTTCTCCTAAATTAAAGTTTTCCAACTTCGTTTACCGTGCAAAAAGAATGCTTTATCCCGAAATCCTACCTTTCCTTTGTGATTAACGTGTAGCCATGGCTTAAAGGAAGGATTAGTAAAGAGACTTTATGGTTAATTACCATGGACTTTAAGAAAAATTCACTATTAAATTCTCCCAAGTAACTGGTTTTGCCCTTTATACAAATCAAATGAGCAAATTACTTTGATTGGACTAAATGTGTTGCCGGTTAATAATAATGGTACTCATAATGTTGTTTCTTTAGGCATCAAGCTTTGTTTATATTAAATAAGTCAATCAAACATTATTTTTATAAAGCTATTTTTACATGATTGTGTACGGACATGGAAGAGACAGAAAGATTATAATAACTAAATTTCTTTTATTTTCATCTTTTTTTTTTCTTCCTCTCTTCCATGTTATTTATTTATACGTCATTATGTATACAATGATGTGCAAATAACATTATTCAAGTTTTATTACACTGAACTTTTGCCAAACTAAGTTTTTAATGAGATAATTTGAATTATAAATTATATACACAACGATATACACATAATCTTACTTATTCTGGAAGAGTGTAATCTATTCAAATTATAAATCTCATTAAAACTCTATATACAAAGGTCATTATTATAATGAAATACACTTTTGAGTTTTAAGTCCATTAATTTTATTTAAGTAATTAGCATAAGACATCATTACCTTTCAATGTTATTGTGCAAAACATTCATATCTTTTTTTTTTTGGCATTTTCACTTTTCATAATGAAAATCATCATTTTCATACAAAAATTCAATAAAAAAAATGTAAAATGACAAATATACTCTCAAATTTGAATAAAAGAAAAAAAGAAACAAAAAATTAAAGAACAAACTGCAATGCCACTTCTAAATTTTATTTAAAAGTGTAGATGAGTTTAAATAAATTATTATAAGGGTAATTAGTACAAAATGTTGCTAATTTTTAATATTATTGTATAAAACGTTCATACCTTACATTTTTTTGACATTTTCATCATTATTTTCACATTTCATTGCAAAAATCATCATTTTCATCCATTTTCTTTAATAAAAATTGTAAAATAACAAATATACTATATACCTTTGTATATTAAAAAAAAATAGAGAAAAGAAAAAAAAATTGTAACTATAGTCCTGAATAAATTCCAAATAAATAATTATAAAAAACAATGTGATTTTTTAAAAAAAATTTGTTATTTATTAGAAATTTATTGGTATTTTTTCAAAAAAATTGGGAGTGTAAGTGCAATTTGTTCTTTATTTTTCTTTTATTTATATAGGATGACATAATTGTGATTTTACAGTTTTAATTGAAATAATGGATGAAATAATGATTTCCACAATGAATTATGTAAATAAAAGCGAAAATGACAAAAAAGAAAGGTATGGACGTTTTGTGATAATTACCTTTTTAATAATTTATTTAGACTCGCTTACACTTTTTTAAACACTTTGGGAGTGCGATTGCAATTTGTTCTTTAATTTTTTTTCTTTCTTTTTATTTTATTTAAATATGAGGATATATTTATCGTTTTGCATTTTTTTAATTGAAAAATTTGATGAAAATGATGAGTTCCTTAATAAAGGATGAAAATAGAGGTGAAGATGCCAAAAAAATGAATGTTTTGCACAATAACACTCTCAAACAGGCTCTAAAAAGTAAGATCATTTTGTGCTAATTACCCAATTTTATTCTATTGTTCTTTCTTTTACTTTTAGTTTTATAACACGGTAATATTTGTTATAAATTCACGTATTTAATCTATTATTATTTTATATTTTTGTTGGACCCTAAGTGATTTTAGATAAAATTATTATCTTATGTATTTAATAAGATTACAAATTTCGTACTCGGATAGAAGATATACATGCATATTTGAGTGTGGCATGTAGCCGTGCTTAAAATTATTATTAAACCAATTTTGTGAAAAGGGAAACTTTTGAACAAAGAATAATTGAAAAATAATATTTGACAAAATAAATAATTTAAAATTAATTAATTACATTTAAGCACTTACTAAGCGTGTTCAAATTTCATATAAAAGAAAAAGAATACGCGAGCCAAACAAACAAGTGCTTATCCACTGACAACAGTGGTCCCCATCTTATACCCCACACGTCATTCCCGCTCATCACGGAGAAAACAGTTTACGTTCGATCTCGACCGTAAAAATTTCCAAGGGATCCGATGCTTGATCTCATCATTTAAAAACAAATTTATTATGCTTAACATGTTTTAGTAAATTTTTTTTTAATAATTTAAAGCTTAATAAAGTCTTAAAAACTTTACTTGATAGGAACTTTGTAAAATTTTTATTGCTTTAACTCTTTAGTAGATTTTGATAAAATTATAGATTATTTGATAGAAAAGTTCTTAATTCTAATAAAACGTGTGATTAAAATAAATTGTAACTTTAACTTTAACTTTAATTTTAATTTTTTTAACCGTACCAAATAGGGGCCAAATAATATGTTGTAAACGAAACAAAATCAAATTACTTATAACATGGATCAACACCTATTATCTCTTCAATTTGTTGACTTGTATGTAACTTTGATAAGTTTTCGATTTACATGTAATATTATTTTATAAAAGATTGTGTGGTTGAAATTAGGAAAAAAAATGAAATGAAAATTAATGAGGGCCAAAGAAGGGCTAAGTGAGTCAAATAACTGAATATATGAGCCTGTTTGGGAGTAATTTTGAGAATTGATTTTTTTACCGTTAGGAGAAAAGTGGGGTCTATTTGTGAGGGAAGAAGTCAAATATGACGGTTGAAATAGTGAAATAACGGTCAAAAAATCAATTTTTTGGACCAAAAAATCACTCCCAAACAAGCTGTATGTATATATATACACACGCGCGCGCGTTGTGTCGTGAAACAGTAGAAAAGTATATCTATTAATAAACAGAGAAAATCAGATTTTGTTACATTTGGTTATTATTAATATTTTATTTTTATGAAGTGTGTGTGTGTGTGTGTTTGGTTTTTATTTAGATCATGCGTATACGTATAAATTGATACTTTAATGCATTGAATTTAGCAATATTTTTCTTTAATACATAGTCAAATTTTTTACGTATAAGAAAGTGTAACCCCATGGGTAGAAAATAGGTGTATAAGTAAATAAATTCTTTTATATATAGCCAAAACAAAAACAGACATGCTCTGCCAACTCTGGTTGTTGCCTCCGCATTCGTCAAGTACTTTGTCTTCTCACATTTCTTCATTCCGAAGCTTTTTCTTTCAACAGGCGCTAAATTGAAATTCATTCCCTTCCCTTAAACACAGAGAGAAAGAGTAGTTATTTTAATTTTCGGAGAGAAACGGATTTGAGACGCCATGAAAGGTTAATAACTTGAGATTTCTGAGAAATGGCGTTTGTTAACAACGAAAATCATCTGGAAATGCAAGAACCCAGTATTGATACAGACAAACTGAGCTACGAGATTTTTTCAATATTGGAGAGCAAGTTTTTGTTTGGTTACGATGACCAGAAACTTTGGATTCCTAAACAAATTGTTCCCGCCATTGAACAGCCCAAAAATGACGTCGTTTTCACAGCCGAGGACGGCGTTCAAGCGGTCAAGAATCAGAGAGGAAAAATCTGCATTTTGAGTATTGATGGTGGTGGAATGAGAAGCATCATATCGGGGAAAACGTTGGCATATTTGGAAACTGCTTTAAAGAATAAGTCTGGAAATCCAGACGCTAGAATCGCCGATTACTTTGATGTTGCCACCGGTACCGGCGTCGGTGGAATCTTCACGGCGATGCTCTTTGCTACCAACGATCGGAATCGACCGGTTTTCCACGCCGATGAAACGTGGAAATTCCTCGCTGCGGAGGGCAAAAAATTCTATCGCTCCGCAAAATCAAATCATTTTAAGGCTAATTTCTTCAAGCGAGCCTTTAATAAAAAAACCGGCGATGATAACGCCGCCACCGGTTCATCCACCGCCGGTTTAGAGAAGGCGATGAAGGCGGCTTTCAAAGATGCAAAAACTGGCCGGAGTTTAACGCTGAAGGACACTTTAAAACCGGTTCTAATTCCGTGCTACGATCTTTCCAGTACGGCGCCGTTTTTGTTTTCACGAGCCGACGCTCTGGAATCAGATGGCTACGATTTTAAGCTTTGGGAAGTTTGTCTAGCCACGTCAGCAGAACCGGGCGTGTTCGACCCAGTTTGCATGGAGTCGGTTGACGGGTCGACCAGGTGTGTGGCGGTGGACGGCGGTTTGGCGATGAACAATCCGACGGCGGCGGCTATTACGCACGTACTGCATAACAAACAAGAGTTTCCGTTTGTGAGAGGGGTCGAGGACATTTTGGTACTTTCACTAGGGTCTGGAGGGCAGTTATTGGAAGGGAGCTTTGACTACGAGCAAGTGAAGAAATGGAAAGCCAAGGATTGGGCTCGGCCCTTGGCTCGAATTTCGGGCGATGGTTCGTCCGAGCTGGTTGACCACGCCGTGGCTATGGCATTTGGCCAGAGCCGGAGTGATAATTATGTTCGAATCCAGGTAAATAATCTTCTACTACAATTTTTTGGTTGGTAAATTTGTGATCCACTACGTGAATATCTCTATATTGACATTTGCTCAGTTTGGGTATGAAGTGCTTTTATTGCAAGACCTTCAAGTATTTGGTTGTATGCATATGAAGGGGTTTTGGAAGTTTTTGGGTACAATTTTCATGGGGACAGTGGGTATGGGCTAATTTTCATAGGAGCAACGTTGTAATTGCCAAATGCCAACCCGAAATGCTCTGTCCGACATCGACAAAGGTTATCAAGACCATATCTCTGTGATTTCTGTGGTCGAATTTATTCTCTTGCTCGACTCTACTAATCGTATGGTTCATTATGAAGTCTATTATTTGAATCCTTTTTCGAGAATGAACAAAAATAGTGTTTTGAATCTTGACAGACATTTGGGGAAATATTATTCAAATCCTTTTTCGAGACTGTCAATTTAAAGTTGAGATGTATTAAAAAAAAAAAAAAAAAAAGTTGAACCCCGACCTTGCCTCGCCCCTATAGCTTTGTGAGGGAGGTAAATCGTAGGATATGTCCTAACAGGGCAGGGGAACAAGAGTTCCTTATACATTGCGCTTACAAGGAGTCCAATTCCATGTCTCAGGAATCGAACTCCCACACTGCAGCTGCCAACAAGACGTGAGATAACCTAACTCCTATCATTTGCACCACTGAACTATACTCCGGAGGACTAAATTTGAGATGTATGATTCTACTTGTAGTAAGTAGAGAATTTGACTCTGTGCCAAACTGCACAAAGAATATTCTGGATATTATTTCAAGACACCTATCATATTAGTGATACAAATTGTACACTTGAAAGTGGTCTCTGTTTTTGCCATTCTTGTTTCTTGCATAAACTTGTTTTTGAAAATTAATCATTTTTTGCCGCTCTTTCCTTTTTGTCTACCTAGGACACGGATTCTATTTTTTCATCCCCCTTCAGTCTAAAGATTTGTAATATTCTGAACCAAGTCTCTATTGGTTTGACATTTTATGTTTCGTTTCAAGCTATTATTCAATTAAAGCATTCTAAACTTCCATATGAATATCTTATAGCAGATGATTAACAGGAGTCATATTGGATCATACCTTAAAGGAATAGTTAATTCAATCCTCCTTGTTTTATTAAAAACTGAGGTTCTATTAAATGAATTTTCTCATTCTTCTTCTTTCATATATAAATAATCTAGTTAATATAACACCAATGGCAGGCAAATGGATCGAGTTTTGGCCGCTGTGGGGCAAATGTGGACACAGATCCGAGTCCTAGCAATGTGAAAATGCTCATTGGAATAGCAGATGAAATGCTCAAACAGAAGAATGTAGAATCCGTTCTCTTTAGTGGCAAGAAGATCGGGGAGCAGAGCAATTTTGAGAAACTTGACTTGTTTGCTGAACAACTTGTGCTCGAGCAACAGAGGAGGAGTTGCCGAATAGCTCCCACTGTTGCATTCAAGCAACATCCCTCGAGATCTTCTTAAACGACTCCCGATAGCAATAAAACAGGGGGAAAAAACAATGTAAGTATTCTTCTTTTGACTACTTCAATTTACATATTCTTGTCATGTCTACTTAAGTTGATACGTGGTTGAAGAAAAAAGATTATGATATGACTAATCTCCACACAATCCAAACATAGACCCCATGCATTTGACTCATAATTGGTACCATAATGTTGTGCATCCAATCTTTTCCTTCTAATACATATATATTTTTCTGAGTCCTAATCACGGGAAGATATTGTTGTTGTCCGTATCTACATACCAGCCCGCTCATTTTGTCACTTCGACTGGGGAATAACCAAGTTTATAACGAAGGGCGGTTGTTGCATTAGTTCTGTTCAAAAGTTTGTCCACCGACACTGATTCTTGGAGGGAAGAGGGTATATTTGTCATTTGGGTATGTAGGGTAGACTTGACAAAGATTTGTGGGGTGAGGGGTAAATGGCATATTTGTCATTTTGCTAAGTAGGGTAGATTTGATTAAGATTTGTAGGGTTGGGCTCTGAACTAGGGAGGCCTTTTTAGGCCATTTAGGAGGGGGGTAAAAATCTTAATTTTGTGGGTTCTTGGATTTGTGACACATCAATGGTGAATCATCTTCTGTTTGAATGTTGGATAAAAGGGCATTCTTTTACTGTTTCAGTTTTCTTATGGCATTATTTCTACCTGTAACATTATGCATTAGGATTTTAAATGACATTCTTTTGCTTTTAAAGCCTTGAGGATAAAATTCTAAAAGATAAAGTTGTTCCAAATAGCTTAAATGTTTGGGTAAGTTGATTTAATGTTGTATTGAAACATGTGAAGGTTCAAATCTCCAGTTTTGATACTGCCTATTTGTGAATCTTGTTCACGTGATGTTAGGCATTTGATTGAAAACTTAATACGGTGTGTACATGTGAGGATATGTCGAAGACAAACTTTAAGTGTCAATGTTATTATACCGTACCGAACAATATAATTGACGATATTTTCACCTCTATCGAGTATTGTCTAATTTACTTTACAAAATATGTCATCTTTTAAATGTTTAAACTTTGAGACAGAGTGATTCAACATAAAAGTTTAAGCATTTTTCATACCAATTGCTCCCCTTTTGATGTATTTGTATCTATAAAACGCAGGTAAATCATGCAAGAAGGTGGACAAAAAAAATTAAAATAGGATTGGCTGAAGAAAGGCATGTCAGCAGGTTTTACTACTATGAGAAAAAACAGAAGATAAGAGAAAAAGTGCTGGGCGTGGGACTTGAGTGAAAAGGACTATCAACTGTAAAAAAAAAAAAAGGTGTATCTTTGTGGGATTCCTTGCCTGCCAATGGCCAGGCATGGTGGTAGCCACCACTTTATCAAGGACAAAGAAACTTAATCATGTATAACATTTCTTGATTTCAAATTAAAATTTGGTTATGGGAGACCCTTTTTTCTCCTTAATGTTTTGAATTAATGCCGGATGCTATAGTTTTTAAAGATGTGATTGTTGTAGATCTTTGAGTAAATTTATCAGTGAACGTGTGAGAACAAAATATATTTCATCTATTTCAAATTTATCACATGATCTTCGTCTAATAGTTTAAGCTTTTCAAATGAGGTGGTTAGGTTATGAATTATGATAATACATGCAAAAGTCTTAGTTTCAAGTTTCGTACGAAAAAATTGTGTGCCCCCTTGAGTCTTTCATTTGATTTACCCAATATGGAGCAAGGTGAAAATATAAATGGTTCATACAGCCTCTTTTGAACTTAAATCTTTAGGTGATATTGTTAACAATAAATGTGTATATTACTTTTATAATATATTTTCCTATTTTAAGTGGAAAAAGTAACTTGTATTTAAATCCTGCCACATATGCTCTAATTCTATAGTTGGTGTTGCAGTCTCCAAAAGTATGATAGTAGTGGTGCTCCAATATAAGAAGGATGTCCTTATTTTAGCTAATGCTTTTTGTGTAATTTCATTTTCTTATTGTGGAAGAGATTAAGAGTTGTTGCTTTTTGAATTCAATGACCTTACAAATTAATAAATCAAGGATGGACCAAAATGTACACATTTTGTGGACCCTTTAAAATTAAAAATAGAAGTTTTGTTCAAAACTTTGGGAGCATATTGACTTTTCTATATTTGAGGTTTGTTTTTAGAAATTTAATAGTTTTGCTAACTTTTGAGAAAATTGGACCATGGAATTTCAACATAGTGCCTAAACTACTAGTCAACCTTTAAATTTATATATAATTATACAATCAGATACCATTCAAAGTTTTGTTAAATTATTACGCGATCCTTTACACAACTAACATTATGAAAGGTAAACTTGTTAAGACTTTGTCTTGACAGTTTTACCTTACTAAAGTTTGTCATGTCAAGGTTAAGTGGCATTCCAATGGAATTTTTGATTATTTTCGTTGCTAGGGACCGGTTGTGCAATTATAATTAAAAATAATGATCAACTGCCTCCTTTTTATAGGTTGGAAGTCTAACGTGCAACTTCAATAATAAATTAAGGAATAATATTGCAATTTTCCCATACTTTTTGTACGAAAATTTTCTAGTTTCTTTGTTTGGCTTTGTTTCTTGATTTCATATTCTGTTTCAACTACTTATTGACTCAAAATTCAAAATGTTTCGTTGTACTTGAAAAGGTGCAATGCTAGTTGTACTTGAAAAGGAATTTACATAGTCGAATTTAAATTTATAAAAAAAATAAAACTTAACATGTTAATTTTTTTGACATAAAGTTTTTGACATTTGGTTACTCCGACTATCCATTTTGTTTTATAGTTACGAGTGCAACTTTCATATTCTAATTGGATTTTTTTATTTTTTGGTTTGCACGTGTCTTTTTCTTCTTGTTTCATACAACAGGACACAGTGTTGAAAAAAGTTTGATTAATCAATTTCAAATTTATCATATATAAAATTTAACCCATTGTTGTTGCTTTATATTTTGATGCTTAGTTATTCCATCAGTACATTTTGTTTCAATGAGACAACGCTAAGTTTAACTTCCATATTAATTAAATAATTTGTTCGATAAGATGGATTGAACTAAAAAGAAAAAAGGAAAAAAAATCTTATATTGTTCAATTTCACATAATAGATAGACATGCATTGCTAACTATTAATCTTTAATACTATTCTGAAAACATCACTGGTATGTCCATTTCTATACCTAATGACTTGATTGTGGATATGCTTTGCGTCCATCTATTGGATAAATAATTGAGCAAAGAATGAAGAAACAAACACTTATAATTAATATTCAAATAAGGCCACTGTGCTTTCTAATCAAATTATTTATGGATTCTTCTGTTTGCTTTATGTCAACTTGGAATAGTTTGGTCGCTGTCCATAACCTTAGTGTGCGTATTCTATTTCCTCTTTTCTTTCTATGTAATGATAATCAATGGAATTATAATGATAATAACAAAAAAGTAGGTCTTATTTTCGATAAATCATGCTACAATTTATGATCTTGTTCTTAATTACATAAAATTCTTATCGGTTGATCTCTATTCTCATCTCCGTATTAGTGTTATTCAAGCTTTGTCACACCGATAAATCATATTTCGAATAAATTTAAAGTCAATTACTTCAGATATACTCTCTCTGACAAATTCAATCTAAAACCATATAAATTTAAAGTGGATTGGTTTTTTTTTTTTAATTATATTTTTTTTCTTGCACTCAACATTATTGACCATTCTTTATCCTTTTTTTTTTTTTTTTTTTTTTTTGGTCTTGTCATATCATTTGAATAAGTGTAATTTTGTTTCTATTTGAAAACAAGACAAGGAATCTACTTTCGGCTTATCTTTTCTAACACTTGGAAAAAGGTAGTTAAAGACTCTTAATCACCAATTCACACATTTCTTTTCATATTAGTGGATTGATGGAAATAGGACTATGTATAGGGAAACTATTTAAACCACAATTTGTTTTGTGATAAAGATGTGATTATGATTGGTGGGATCGAACACTTGTTCTGAGTTTATACGCGTGCGTGTCGTGTAAGTGTCATTGATTTATTTGGCAAAGAAAAATGTATGACAAATTGAATGTGTTTACAATAAGGTTTTTTGATTTATGGTTAAGGTAGTTAATTAAAAGAGTGGGGGACATAGAATTGATCCCAGTAGAGTGATGGACCCAGCAATAGACGAGTCGAGCGATTTGACTCAACACGATTCATATAATATCCTTAATTTTAAGTGGTCTTTTGTTTTCAAACAAGAAAGGATTAATAATGATGATATTATCTTATATATGCAAGTGGTCTTGGCATTATAATATTGTTATATTAAGAATAAAACTTTTAAAAATAATATATAAATTATTCATAAACAAAAAATCATACCTTTGAGAATTGGCAAATATTGTCTTGTTTCCTCTAGAAATGCCTTTATAATCTACGCCAAAAAAAAAAAAAAAGGGAAGAAAATTATCCATTTTAAATTTGATGAATTATTATTGTAAAATTTAAAAGTTTTGAAAGTTAGTATTTAAAAGAAAAATTGAATTTATTTATCATCATATTTTAAAAATATAAATATATTCCGTGTAAAACATAGACGAACTATGTCTAGTCATGTCAGTCACAATACCATTTATACACAGTTTCTTGAATTTTTACTCAAACAATAAAGAAGAAGATAAATAATAATGATTTATTGAGGAGAAGATACATTACATATTTGAAAGTATTTGGATTATCAAGAATTTTAAAAATTCTTTTGGGATTCAACAACTTTGTTCTCAAACAAAAAACAGAAAAAAAAAAAAAAAAAAAAAAAAAAAAAAAAGAAAGAAAAAAAAAGAGCCACGTAGCCCAATCCGACTCAAAGCCTCATAAAGCCACTCATTCACGATAAATACGGCCCAAAATCATCTGCTCAAGTCGAGTAAGGAAGCCCCAATTAAGGATTCACGAGACTATCGAAACAAGCTCTCAGTGTTCTAACTTGGCCCATTAACTAAAAAAATCTGGCCCATCAACTTCAATCAGGGTAAAGATGACACTGAGAAGCCCCAATTAAGGATTCACGAGAACATAAAAACAAGCATCAAGTGTTACGACAAGACCCATTTACTCAAAAATCTGCCCATCAACCTTCTGTGATCCACAACCGGGTGGAGGGTGGCAACGAGCAGGCTCCTAGGCAGCCAGGCTAGGCTTGGCTCAACTCTTTGATTGAGATGGCTCATATTTAAAAAAAAAAATATATATGTTGCATTTGATTGCGAGCATGGAATTTGTACGGAATAAAAATAAATTATAAGTAATTTAATTGTCTATAGCTTATTTGTATGAAAATTATTAATTAAATGTGTTTGATTGGTTCAGTTTTCAACCTAGAAAATATTATATTTATCTATTTTTTATTGATAGGTAGATGAGAGTGTGTGGATTCCTTGGAAAATAAAATCATAATCCCCTAAAAAAATATTTTATTTGATTTTGAGAAAAATATGATCACGTGATTAAAAGTAGAAAAATATTTTTCATGGAAAATATGTCAATCAAACAGCATAAAAATAAAAATTTAAATGAAAAAACACATTTTTAATGAAAAATATTGACAATCAAATGCACTCTTAATAAAATAAATCTAAAAATGAAGAAAAACCCATGAGCCAAAATAAGCCAACTCGTGGGCTTGTGAAAAAAAAGTTTGAGCTTGAATCAATACATGACTCATCTCAATATGAGCCCGAGCCATCCACAAGTCAAGTCGGGACGAGTTGAGCCTGCAAGTCGATGAGCGACTTGACCCGTATGCCATCATACAGTTGGGGTCAAAAATTCTCTGACTCCCCCATTGAAAGAATTGCACTTGACGTAGAATGATGTAAATATATTAGCCCATGCATGATCATGTCGATAGAATATAAGGAAAGAATAAAAGTCATCAATCTTCGAATTTAATAGGTTACTATTAATGAATGTTGTAATGGATAGTTACCATATTCAATTTTGGTTTGGTTCTATATAAAGTATTGAATCTTGTTGAGTATATTTGACATGGCATCATAACTTATTTCTTAGAATTTTTTTCTTATTTTCTTGATTGGGTTTTGTCGCGGACTCCTCCCATCCAGTCATCGTAATTGCATGATTTGCGGCCGTCTTAACAGTGGACGGAGGTGGAACAGCTAAAGCAATAGCGATTTGCAAACTAAAAAAAAAAAAAAGAAAAAGAAAAAACACCAGAGCCAATGCATTGAATGGACTAACTAATTGGGAAAGAAGCGTGGAGTTTGTGATGCAACTGAAAAGTTTACAAATATGACACTTGGCTCTGGCAGGCCACTTGCAAAGCTGTCAGTGCTTCCACCCATAGAGACTGGAGGATTCATGGCCAATCTGATTTATTCCCTAGAAGATCATAAGAAATTCTTCTTGGAACAGTATACCAGAAAAGTGGCAGCTAAAGTTGAAGAGGAGGCGATGGCGACTTTTGGAAATAAAAGGGGGAGGACTATAGAGA